AAAAAAAAGACGAGCCATAGAGTGAGAGGGCTGGGGCTACAGGCCACGTGAAACCAGCTGACCCCTGAGGGGAGGCCTGGAGACTGTATTTGACCACATGGACATGACTCAATCAATCATGACAGTTAAGAAACCTCAATAAAAACTCAGGATACTGAGTTTTTGGATGAGCTTCCTGATTTGGAAACTCACAGCAACACCAGGAGGGTAACGTGTCCCTGAGGACACAGAAGCTTATGTTTAAGGGCCCTCCCATCAATTCTCCAGGTGTCTCTTCCTTTGGCTGGTTCAGGTTTATATCCTTCTGTTAAAATGAAACCACAATTGTAAGTACAGTACTTTCCTGTGCTCTTTGAGTCGTTATGGCCAATTCTTGAACCTGAGGATGACTTAGGGCACTCGAGAGGGAGCAGACGTGGCAGTTAGGGGATGCGTCCTAACCTTGGGCCTGGGTAACGCAGGTAGCCCTTGAGCCACCAACTTTAATAAAATGGCCAATGAGAACTGTCTTATTTATCTAACTAGATTATTTTTTTGAGGCCAAGGGCAATGACCTATTCGTCTGAGTCCCTTACAAGGTGGGGGAGGGGGCTTCAAGAATTTTCAAATTTATGATTGGAAGGGTAAACTAAAGAATAAGTGAATAAAACCCTAGCACTCTGCAATTTAAATAACCAACTGTCATTCTTATTCCCCATATCCTACATATCCTTCCAACTGTCCCAAACTCCAGGACTGAAAACAAAGAAGAACCTTCAAAAAGCTTCAAAACAGACTTGAAAGATGCTAATGTCTGATTTTTTTGCTGAGATTACAAATTCGGGGGTGGGGGTCAGGTGCCACAGGACTGAGGAAGGAATAGGACGAGGTGCCAACACTGATGGGAAAGAGCACCTACTGAGTAAGCATGTGAAGTCAGGCCTGTGCACAGTGCCCCTGGACTAGGACATCAGGTTCTCGCAGAAACACCCCAGGCCAGTCCAGCCTGTGTTCCCACCTCTACACCAAGCCTGTCTCCAAACTCCACCCCTGGGCTCACATGTATCTGAAAGCCATAATTTCTCTGGACTGGATACTCCGTGACATCATAACATGTAGACAAGTCAATTTCCCCATCCAAGTCAGCCGCCTGCAGAGAGAAATAAGACCTTAAGAGGTTTAGAAATAAAAGTCAATACTAGACAAACAAGTTTTCACGAACGATTTTGTGTGTTGACCTTTTTTTAGTTGAGCATATACCCTTGCCAGCGAGGATACTGCTTGTCCTACACTATGTGGAAGCATCAATGCCACCATTTCCCATGTGTATCCTGGCAAAGATACCCCATGCTGAAGGTTCTCCAATGTGCTGTCAGAACTTCTTTATGCTCTTAGAAACTGAGGACCCTAAAGAGTTATATGAGCTTTATCTATTGATATTTACTATATTCGAAATTAAACTGAAAAATATTTAAACATTTTGAGAATACAAATAAGCCCATTTAGTTTTTTAATAAACATATTTTTAAAAAATCAGTGATTACAGTGGTATTGTTTTGAATTTTTACAAATTTCTTTAAAGTCTATTTTGGCATGTCTGTTTCTGCATTCTGTCTAATGGACACACTATTTTGGCTGAACTATATGAAGACAGTCTGACCTTACACAAAAATGGAGTTGAAAAGGGGAGATGTATTTTAAGTCTTTAGATAACTGTGGTTATATTTTGGATAAGTGGTAGTTTCTTGAAGGTTAACTACAAAGTGGAATCTGAAGTCACATCAAGGAACTTTCTGTACTTGGTTACATTAAAATCCAGTTTACCCTGCCCTCTGAATGGATCTTTTACCCATGCACAACTGTGCAGCATTATGTATCAGTCATTTGGAAGACAGTGAGTTACACACTTTCTAATGTTGAGACATCTCATTTGTAAGATCAAATACTGCATCTGTCAGTATCACCACCTATTTGGTCAGGAGTCTGTAAGTAAAGGAAAGCTGTCAGGCTCACGATGATGAATACAAGTTTCCCAAAGTTCCAAGTTTTGCTTGAAAGCTCATCTTGTAGCACTGGCAACAAATCCTGTCAGTTGTTTTCCTAAAAGGAACAGGCTCACTTGGTTCATTTTGAAAACTACGCCTCCTAAACACCCAAAATGAAGGAGCAGTTTGTTTGCTAGTTGTTCTTTCAGGCAAGGAGGGCATTCCACAGGAGCAGCTGCTGCTCCACGGGCAGTGCAGAGAGAGGCATGAGTGCTTCCCCGGGACAGCCATCGTACCTTGGTGTGCGGCAAAAGTGACTTATGCTTACTCCCATTTTGAATCACAGAGTATTAAAAAGATGGGTCTTCAAGGATTGAGACTTAATAAAATTAGAAACTTTCTCTAATACCTGCATGTGTGGTGGTGAAGAACACATGGCAGCAGGACACCTGCTGCTCCAGCCGTAACTGGGCTGAGGCACCAACAGCTTCACCCACCACTGCTTTTGCCAGCAGTGCAAATGTGAATACAATAAAAAAAGAATCAAACAGCATCTTACTTTATAACAACAGTTTTGAGTATCCCAGCCCCCTATAGTGTCTCCAGGGATCTAGAGCCCACCCCCCAAGAACTACTAGTTATGCAAGTGGCAGCCACCCACACCTGTCTATGCCCACCTGTGTCACCGCACTCCATTAAAAATTTAGTTGTTCAGGTTCAGGGTGTGTAAATATATATAACCAGCCCCTAATGATAGACATTTAAATTCTTTTCAACCTTTTGCTATTAGAGAAGTACAGAATGACTAACCTTGGACACAGGTCTTTTTCTATATGTGGGAATATATCTGAAGAATTCCTGGAGTGGAACTACAGGGGACTGAACTACACTTGCTAAATTGCTAAAAATAAAAAATAAAAAAATTTATAATTGAGGAAAAAGCTCCCTCTGGTTGACCCTTTGACTGTGGACCAGGACTGTCAACTGGCTGATCAAGTCTATCTACCACGTTCTATCCTCACCCAGAGGAGGGACAAGATTTTAGCTCAGTTCTTCAAAAGACTCGGTACACCACAGAATCTCTCTATAGAAAAAACAAAACTGCTCATTCTGAATTTTAAAATAAGTCATCTTTCAGTGTTTTTCAAACAAAGAAGTTGCTCAAACTCACTATGCCCAGGTGTCTACAGCAGTGCCTCAAAAGACCCCAATGTTCCAGGCAAACCAGTCATGAGAACATCGAAAGCTGGTTGCAGTGTGCTCAGACTTCCCACCAGATCTGGACTGGAAACCCAAGATGGCAATGCAGTCACTCGTCAACAGAGGGGGGGCTATAGCCAAGGAGAAGCAGTGGTGCTTGGGAGCCTTGGGCTCCCAGATGCTGCCTGAACCCTTTCACCTGTCTCCCCGGTGGGAACAAAGCCAAGACACTCACCTCCTCGGCCACTGAATCCCTGTAGTATCTTAGGCTTTGATCAGCAAGGACAAACCAGTGTTTCTTCCACTGAAATGAAAAGAGAGACTCAACTACTATACAGCACATTTCCTGCTCCAACGTGGTCCATGCTAGAGTCCTGGGGCACTTCCCAGAGCACATGTGAAACAGAGAGCATTCAGCCCCTCCCACAATGGCAGACACACAGACAGGACCCCGTTCAGGCTGCAGGCAGCTATGCACACATGATTTCAGGGCACTCGCTAAGCCCTGGCTCCCCAATGACAGGGCAGGGGAGAAAGCTGGGGTGGGCCAAGGCTGTGGGCTCTCCGTAACCCACAGTGGTGTGGCTGGTAAACAGTGCTTCCCAGTCCTCAATCTCAACCCCAGGCTGCAGTCAGGAGGCCGGGCCTTAGAGCTGAAAGGTGGCTGTGAAAACAGCATCTTCATCCTAAGGAGGCCACCTGTGAGCCATTGCCACTGGCTGGTTAACCAGAGGGGCGCGCCCACCTGCAGTCAGCAGGTGCAAACCAACCAGCCAAATTCACAAGTCTTCACTGTGAGTAGCAAACAGTGAGACTTGAGTCTTCAGGCAAGGCAAAGAGGACTAATATAGAGGAGAGAGAAAGAAGGAATGTTTCGGCACAGACGCTCAGGGAGCAGGTGGGAGAGCAGATAAGGTTTGGGGCCTCTCGGTATGACCTAGCAGGCTTCTTTTCATGCCTCCTTGGAGGTCTGGCCTTCTTGCTCCAACCAGGGTCAAGGTGGGGCTGGTAGGTCCAGATGTAAATGGCTCTTCCTGCTTGAATCTTATAGTAAGAATGTACCACAATGGCTCTCCCAGGGCTGCAGCTGAGCTGGTATCTCTGAGTCTTGCTGCCCTCAGCTGCTGTCTACTTGGCTGCTTGTATGCAAACACAAGCCAAGCCTACAACCAGAGGCTTTACCTGTCCCTAGGAGGATCAGGTGGGGAGCTAGTGTTGGAGGATGTCCGCACAGCCTGAGGCCAAGATCACTGCTGAGTACTATCACATTGGCAGCAGGCAGGCCTGCCTGGCACCTCTCCAGAGGCCCCACCCCCTAGTGTAGCAATGGGGGCTGTGAAGCTCCACTTTTCTGAGGAGATGGGGGTCTTGGCCACAGTCCTTGTCCATGACACCGGGGGTAGGCCAGAGGTGGGGGAGGAGCCAGTGCTCACAGCTAGAGATAAGGCCAGCCCGACCATGCAGCCACTCCCAGCCGCTCAGAAACCAGAGGCCTCTGCACACTAACCTGGCCATCCTCATATTGCTTGGTCAGCCAGCCTTTCTTGAAATTCAGCAGATCAGGCTGAGAAAAGAAGAAAGAACAGTTCAGAGGAAAACACTGCGGTGTCCCAGTCATGGGCAAAGGGTGACTGACAGAGCAGGCATTTCTGTCCATATCAGGCAGGCACCAGGAAAAGGGGTTTCTTTGCCCACCAGACAAGCCTGCATGGCATCCCCTTGCCCCAGTGGGTGCTGCCTGCTGCCCCTCCACAAGCACGCACATCTCTGAGGGAGGAGATGCTGGGATGGGCAGGCTGCTGCGAAGGAGAGAGCCCCGCCTCATCACCCTGTGAGCAGACGAAGACTGCCTGGTGCTTTGAGACAGGCCCTTGCTCCATCTGCCTGGGAGGTGCAGAAGAAAGGCCCAGACGGAGAGTCACTGAGTGTATTAAGAGAAGGGGAAGGTCTACAGTGACAGCTAAAAGGAGAATTCAGAAGGTCTTGCAGAAGCCAAGAAGACTGAGAAGACAGAAAGCAGAAGACCAAGGAGCAGAGACCATGTCTGGTCTTCAGCAAGAGGCAGCAACAACCCTGCCAAGACCCTTAGGCCACTTATCTGTACCAGGATGAATTTCGGTCTCCATTTCCCTACAAGGAGCAAAGCCAGGACTGTAAACAATGAAGAAGGGGGTGCAGGACCGCCAGCAGGGCTGGAACAAGGTGCTATCCCTGCTGGTCCCTCCTGCACCTGTGCTGTTCACATGCCCGTTAGGATCACCTGCAGCCCACTTGGGCCCCGCTTGTGTTTTATGTCTAGTACCCATAAGGCTGGTGCTTCAAAGGAACATAGATCATCCTTCCTCTCACCCCACATGCTTTCTACTTTTCTACAGCCATCTTGAACAGAAACAGGATGTGACATCTTTTCGTATTCCAAGGACTGGGAGTTAGAACAATGTACAGTGGCAGGACAATGACCAACACTACCCGTCTGGGAGCCTCTGCTCCAACCCTTTGAGCAAAACTCAGAAATCAAGGAAAAATTAAACTTCCTCCAGGTAAAAAACCACCTGTCCTTGCTTCACAGTTTCATGCCAATCTGGCTGGTGGCTCCATGCCCTGGAGGGGGAGAGGTGGCACCAGCCCCGGGCTCCTCAAGAGGCTAAGGACAAGAGCAGAGAGGCGCCCCAGGTCACCATGCAAATAGCTGTTTTTCTTCCCCAGGGCCTCTGGCTTGTCGCTCCTGATGGGAGCGATGGTGCCACGTGGACTCCCTCTGACCACTCCCTACCTGCCCCCTCCACCACTGCAGCTCAAACACCTGGAACAAGGGCCTATTCTCCCTGTGGTGAAACCCCATGAACAGGACAAGTGCTCCCAGCAAGAGGGGGCTCCTGCCTCCAAAATGTGCCAGAAACAAATACCCCAAATAAGAACAGGGGTTCTCTGCTTTGGCCCTGATTCCCTGGAGTCAGGATTCTGCTGCCTTGGCTAGGTGGCCTCCTCCACTGGGACCTCAGAGCTCAGGATGCCCACAAAAGCCCAGAAAATGGAAAGAAACAGAGCAGTCGCTTCCCACACACAGACACAAGGGCCCGTGCACAGAGAGGACAGCCAGCACAGATTCACGGACAGAAGCAGACAGTGACCTCAAGTGACAGAAGCAGCAGGAGCAGCATCTCCAGGACTTGGTGCTTGGGCGCCTGGGCTCACCGTCAGGGAGGACTCCATGGACCTCCTGTCCAGTGACTTGGCTCTTCGGTGTGGAGACAAGGGGGAGGCTGAGGTGTCCGGGAGAGGAGCCGTGGGGGCTTCACTGGGGAGGTCCTGTGGCAGAGAGTAGCCGCTAGTCAGTATTGTCAACACTGGCAGGAAGCAGGGAGCCCAGCAGCCAGAGCTGTGGGAGGGTCAGGACTGTAGAGATCTTGTTCCAAGTGAATGCTGTTTTTGCCGGGACAGAGGACAGGAGCCTGCGTCCCAGACTTCCCATCTAGCGCCTTCTGCTATTTGCTTCAGGCAGTGCGTTCTGAGATGCCCTGGCTGTTGAAGCACTTTGTCTTTCAGACACACCAGTCACGGTCACTCTTCTGGTCCCGCCCACCTGCCCACCCCTTCCATCTTGGGGGTCACAGAAGGAAGAGCCCTGAGTTATGTGGCTGCAAAGCAGGTCACCTCAGGAGCCCAGAGAAAAACTGGGGAGGCAGATGAAGATTAGACACGTAAGGCCACAAGAGGTGGGTGGGCTGCTCAGGAGATGGACTGGAAACAGTCTACCTTGTGGAGTGGAGAAGGGAGGGCTATGGCTGCCACTTGAAAGAAAGAGAAGAAAGGCGTTCAGCCTGTGGCCAGGCCGCCTCAGAGAACAAGAGGCTCTAGTACCACCAAGGACCTAACGATTGTTAGAATAGCCTTTAGCAGAGATGGAAAAAGCTCTAATAGGAAGATGCAGAGGACAGGCTATTCTTTAAGAAGTTCACTAACTGGAAAAGATGAGAGACCCAAGCAAATGACTATGAAAGAAGAGCAGGAAGCCCAGCAGAAGTGTGCCCAGGTGTGTGCTGAGGGCCTCACAGAGGGTATGGGTCATGTGCTGATGTGCCCCATCAAGCCCCATAAGGCACTGCTGGGCCTCAGTGCTCACCCGCTTCCTGGGGAATGCCCTCTTCTCACTACGGCCCTGGCGAGTGTCACTTGAAGGTGAGGGCCCGGCTGACAAATTGGTCTCCATGTGCTCTGCCTTCTCAATGTCCAAGGCTTCAAATTTCTCAATTACCTGAGACCTCCTGTAAGAGAGGACAGGAAGCTGCTGTGGGGAGACAAAGTCACTCCACAGACCAAGGTGGGTTTGGTCTCAGGTTGCAGAGGGGCTCCTTTAGTCAACAACCCCCTCACGGCTGGCCCATCCCAGCCTTTCTCTGGGCCTCCCCTTCTGTAGCATGTGGACACAGTACACTTGGTCAGTTCACCTCTGACACCCCTCCCTGAGCTCCCTCTCTCCCCATGCAAAGGGTAGAGATGTGCAGGGGCGGGCAGCCACTCATGGGCAAGGGCATCCCCTTGCCCTCTGCCTGCTGCCCCCCAACACTATAGGTCCCTGCATGGCCTGTTGTGTTGACACACTCGGCAATCACACAGCTCATCAGCGGGCATCCTCTCCTGAGCCACAGACGTGATCAGAAGGCAACCACCACCTTGGAAGGGGACAGCCCCTTCCTCATCGAATTCCTAGCAGATCATAATGTAGCCCCGACCCCAAAGTGTCCAAAATTTAGCAAGAAAAAGGCCCATGAATTAACATTGTTTCTGCCAACAGTAAAAAGAATCAAAAACCAAATTAAAACAAAATAAAGCAAGTTGATTTCATGTGAAAGGGCCGGCGGCATCATCAGGCCATCTACGGCTGGAGACGGAGCTGAGATGGGAGCGAAGCAGGCGGAGGAAGGGCGAGTAACGTCACAGCCACACAGCAGGAGGAGGTGGGGGGGCAAGACCTGGAAGAAAAGAAGGCTGGGAAATGAATAAACAGAAAGGGACTGCTTTTTAAAACCAAATAATGGTAAATCAAAATTATTTGAAGAATTAAAGAAACAAAACCCAGGTGATCACTGAGGAGGGGAGACCATCTTTCTCTCTGAGTCACAAGGAGTCTCCATGATGGGTGTGCGCAGGGAGGGCAGGTGGGGCACACTGGGGGCCTGGGTTTTGAACGTTGACAGGTCACAGGACCAGAGGCCTGTCTTCCCACAGGGATACCCAGGCAAGTGCCCTAAAGTTGCCTCTTAGGGAGGGTTTTGCGTTCTGAACAAGTGGTGCAGAGTCAAGGGGAAGGGAGTAAAGGGCCTCTGGGCCCAGGGGACTAAAATCTACTCTATAAGGATGAACAGAAGCAGCAGCCTCAAAACCTGAGAACCTTCCCCGCATCCCCCACCCCAGGACAGCTTTTGCTCAGGGATGGTTGCCATTAAAAATGGGTATCTTAGGGTTTCTTTATCAAGGAAGGCTCAATACCAAGGGCAGAACTCTGGGCACCTGCACCCTCTGCTCCTCCCTGTGCTTCCACAAGAGTGGGAGCCCCAGTGCACTAAAGCTCCTGCGGAGTCTTCTCCAGGAACAGAACTTATTCCCAGGCCAGCCTGCCAGAGCCAGCAGTGCAGGGAGGCTGAGGAAGGGCAGCAGGAGAGGGCATGCGTCTGAGCGCAGGAAGCTAAGGCAGAGGCAGAGTTCCCGGAACCACAGGAAGCTCTTGCAAGTGCTCAGCGTGGTTGGGTGGGTGATGCATCCCCATGCCCGACCATCGTGGTGAGATTTGATAAGATTCCAGGCCTGCCCCCAGGCCTCGGTGCCACCACTTGCTGAAGGAGAGCCCCTCCAACTGAGGCCAGGATCTAGAAAGCCCCAGGAGGGCCATGAGGAACAGCTCTTGGCTGAGTCACATGTGGACTGCATGCTGCAGAACTGCCAGGGTTGCAACACGAGGAATCAGATGAGAGAAGAGGAGAGCAGCCCTTTCTGCAGCCTCTCCACATGGATGGGGCTCTGGTGCAATCAGCTATGTTTTCTTGGCAAAATGGGAAGTTTTTAATTTGGTTCCCTTGAAGTACTAGATGTGTGACCACAAATGCCTCCCTAAGCTGGCTGATAGCACAGAAAGCAGGTGCTGCACCGCTGCTTGTCAACCTCTCCAGGTTCTCAGCACACTGGAGCCAACCCTGGTGTCAGTCACCAACAGTTCAACAAGGGCTATGGCCTCCCCATGCTTGCTCAACAGCAACTCTGAAAAGCAGAGATGATCAGCCCACACAGGACTGCTTAAGGGCCATAACTTTTCAGGAAACCAACTCGCCATCCCCAGCGGGGCCCTGGGCAGGCCTGGCTCAGCTGCCATTCTAGGTATCTGTGGTCAACAACCTGCCAATGTGGGGTTCTGCTCTACTCAAACAGGAGACAGGAATCCAATCAAGCAAAGGTCAGCTACTGAGGACCAGAGAGCAGGCCTCGGGAAGTGACAGCAGCCAGCCAGATGGCATCAGGGTCAGTAAGAAAGTGACATTACAGTGTTAGGGTGCAGAGCTGGTTGGGTCCCAGGGGTGTCAACACCAGGTAAAAAACCATGATGGCAAAGAGCATGCAAAAAGCAAAGCCCCGGAGATGCTGTCAGCCCCAGGCCACTAGAGAAGAATGAGTTCAAAGCCAAGCAGGTGTGCTGAATGTTAATTCTCTGGTCTGCCCCTAAACCAGGGCGTGCTGCCCACACACAAGCCTTCATAACAGCAGCCTGCCCGCAGGCCAGCACAAAGCCTCTCCAACCCTGGTGACTGGCCTCCTAAACTCCTGGCAAGTCCCTTTACTTATATATTTCCTTAATTGCTTAAAGGACAGCCCCAGTCATGTTATGGGAGCAAGGCCTTCCCAGTTAACAATCCGGCCAGACATGTGCCTCAGCTCCACTGTTCTGGGCTGTTCCCAGGAGTAACCCTGCTTCTGAGCCCCTATCTCTGCATCTACACACTGGGGATGCTGATACAGGCACCTCATGGGGTTACTAATGAAACAGGAAGCCAACCCACTGCTTGGTGGGGTGCTTCCCAGGCAACAGGTCAGTTTCCCTCTCTCTGTCTCTCAGAATTAGATAGATTCTGTTTTCTTCTCTTTCAAGACCAACAACTCTGGGTGTCTTCTCCTTATCCTGGAGGTTAACCCACAGGTCCTGTCTACCTGGCACATGTGGGAGAGTGCACAGGTGTTAAAAAGAGAAAGAAGGACAAGAGAAATGTACTCTGTTCCCTGCCAGCCCCTTAAGGGGTGCCCACTGCCACCCTGGCCTGTCCCCACAGCATGCCCTGACTCTGAGCCTTACTAGCTTTCGTTGGACAGTGAGGACATGGCAAACACTTCTGGAACTTTTTTGGAAAGCAAACTTCTTTGGGAACCTAAAGAAAACTATGTATTTTTTTTCCACTGGAAAAATGTACACATAAGACTTTAGAATGGTTTAGAGGGGTCTGTGAGCCTCCAGCAGCCTACTGGTTATCTGGGTGAGAACCCTGTTGTTAGGCACAGAGAGAAAAAGGCTGCTTACAGATTAAGGGTGGAAACTCTTATGGGAGGGGCACTTGGGCACTCTGGTCCAGACATGGGTTGGGAGGCCTCAGGGATAGAATCAAGCTCTTTCCCCAGAGCTCTGGGAAGTGCAGGGCCAGTGGGACAGAGAAAGGCAGAGCCCTGCTCTCCCCAGACCACAGTCACGTTCCAAACCCCCACCCTTGTCCTAGGCCCATCATCCAGCCTCCTCTTTCCCCAGGAAGCGGTGGCTCTGCTCAGTCTCCCCATTTCACATTACAGCCAGGCCTGAGAGTGCTGCTGCCAGGCACCCACAGCTTCCCAGGCTGCTTCGGCTGCCCTGTGGCTTCCTATGGAAGCAAGTGCTCAACGGAAGAACTATGCTGCCACCCTGCCTCCCTGGGCTTGGCCATCTCCCCTGCATCTCCTTCCATGCCCTTCACCCGCACCTAGAACTGGTAATGACAAGGAGAGTTTCTGCTATCACTGTATCTCTGGGGTCTTCTGCTTCCGCTGTCTCCTCAGAGAACACTATTGGGCCAGAAAGGAAAATATCCAGCCACACAAGGCCCAGGCAGCTGAGCGTACCCTCCCAGGTGCCATTAAGGTCCCAGGGCTAGAATGCACTCATGAGGAGCAGCTGCCCCCTGGCCCACACCTCTGGGTACCCAGAGATCCTACATTCTGACCACCAGGAGCTGAGTTCTGGAACCAGAGTGTAGGGTCAGGAGGGAAAGGATCCCCACATGCTCTGAACAGAAAGGGAGAACAAGCGTGCTCCCCAAGGAAAGCTTAGGCAACACGTGAAGGGGGTGGAGGATGTGTAAAGTGTGTGAGAAGAGTGCATAAGAGTAGTAACAATATAAGTGTGAGACTGTATGTGTGAGTCCATGTGCAAGAGAAAATGTGTGAGTGTGCAGGGTTCGGGAGAGTCGGTGTGCCTGTGTGCGCACATGCATTCAGCCCTCTAATCCCCTCCTTACCTCCTCTCGTTGCCAAACAGACGGGCCACCTCTTCCCTGCCAGGGNACAGACTGTGCAGGGTTCGGGAGAGTCGGTGTGCCTGTGTGCGCACATGCATTCAGCCCTCTAATCCCCTCCTTACCTCCTCTCGTTGCCAAACAGACGGGCCACCTCTTCCCTGCCAGGGCTCCGGGCCCGAGTCCTACGCTCCAACCGCCTTCTCTCCACCTGGAAGGCTTCTCGGTGGCTGATCCTGACGGCCTTAGGGACGTCGGCCAAGGCGGCATACTGCCTGCTGGCTTTAAAGGCAAAGGTGCACCCCAGTCTCTCTGCTCCCCGCCCCCCAGTGCTGCCGGAGTCCATGTGAGCGGGAGGCTGGCTGGCCACATCCAGAGAGCCAAGGTAGCTGCTGTAGACCATTCGACAGGGGGGTTGAGGACCTGGGGAAGGAAGGGGATGACCGAGCTCCTGGGAGGGCGGTCCGGGGCCACTATACCTGTTATTGGGGGTGCTGGGGCTGGGAGGGGAGACCGGCTGGGGCAGCTGCTGCTCCTCGGCCTTCAAGTCCTGCTTGGTCTTCTCTAGGGAGAAGTAGCCACTCTCTACCCGAACTTTGCGGCCACAGTCCATGCGGTCACTATTCATGGTGCTCTCTTCTGGAAGAAAGAGAGGGAGGTAAGAGAGACTCTCAGCCTGCTGCCATCTTTGGTTTCTGAGGATGTTTTTAAAAGCCCACAGATATCCAAACAGAGGCCTTCTTTCTACTTTCGTCTCCAAAGGCCAATGTGGTTCCCCAAGGGCAGACAGGGGATGGGAATAAATCTCCTTTCCACTGTGCCTCAATCATTTCTCCCCTAACCTGACTGCCTCTTGGTCAGACTGTCATGGAGGCCCTTCACTTCCAGTCTGGGGGCTCAACTGGAAAAGAAGGATCCTCCTCCCTCCCCCAAAAAGGATGTCCCACCAACTACTTCTTACCAAATATCAAAGAGGAACCAACTAGCCATTTAGTCTTTGAGGAGGGAAGGAGCAGAGGACTTGTACAGAAACCAGAGGAGTTAATGAATTTTTGATACAGATGGGTGTGTACTACCAAATGAGGATTGAGGCAACTTTTGCCCAAAGCTAGTACAAAATGCATTTTGGCCAGAATGAGCTGGGTCAGTCCCAGTTGTCCACTTGTCTTTAATGATCTGGACAAAACATAAATACGAAAGCCAGCCTGTGATTTGTAGAGCCTTCAAGGGCTTGAATGAGGGAGGCAGAGACTGCTGCCCTGCTTCTGCTCAGGCAACTCCAAAGTGCTAAGTGGACAATGCATGGTGGTGCCGATTGTTTCCTCTCCAGCACCCTCTTCCCCTACTTCACCCAGAGAAGAGGCCTGGCAGACGGAATGGGGAGGAGGCTAAGACAGCCCTAACTACCGCTGCTCTTAGGACACAGTGGGCTAGGCTAAACCTGGCCATGAAGACATAACTGCCACAAGGGACAGGAAATAAGCCTCCCCACATACAGACTTCATTACAGAGCATTTTCACTCTCACAACACCCACCTGAGGCTAACTAAGCAGGTGCTGTCCTCCTTTACAGATAGGCCTCAAGAGCTAGAGGGGCAGAGTCAAGGCTGGAGCCCAGGGATCCCAGTCCCACACCAGGCCAGGCCCTGCCCAGGGCTGATGGACATAGGAGGTGAGAGAGTCTTAGGTGTGGGGCTCACAACTGAGCTGTGCAGGCCCCTGACTGAGCCCTAAGTGCCAGCTCTGTAGGGACAGAGCCTGATCCAGCACTGCATTGGCCACCACTTACCATCTTCGCCCTCCAGCCCAGGTTCCCTGAGGGCGCTGGTAGGAGGAGGCTGACTCTGGCTGGGACTCTGAGCTGGACTCAGGCTGCTCCCATCTGGCTGTTCCTTGGCCCTCATTTCTTCCTGCCAGAGTGTAGACTTGGTGGTGGGGACTTTCTCAGCACTGGGGATGCTGCTGCTGGTGGTGACGGCCATCTTGGCTGGGCCTGGCTCCTGGGGGAGAGATGGTGTCTGCAGAGGTACAGGAGCACCAGCCCGAGCTAGCCAGGGGCCTTGGGTGCCTGAGTGTCTGCTATAAGATCAACTACACAATGTCAGGGGCCCAAAATTCCCAAAAGGGAAGGCTCAGAAAATAGAGAGGTCTTGGTCAGGGTAGAAGCTCCTTCTGGATGGCAATGTTGCCTTTTCTCCTTTGCAGCTCAGCAAGCACCCCCATAGAGCTTGGTCCCATGGGCTTCAGGCCAGGTCTGGCAAATGCATGGAACAAAGGCTTAGGGTTTCTGCTCATATCCTTAACACCAAACACACGCAAGTTCTCCCTGCCCACGAAACTAGACAGAGCCCAGAGCAGTGGGCCAGACATTAAAGGCAAGACCACAAGTGGGTGGTTCAATCTGTCATTCCTAGACTTCCAGGTGCTTGGGATATGATAAAGGAAGCTGAAACAGGGTGAGGAAAGAACACACCACTGAGATGGGCCCAGTGGGGTGAATGAAAGCATGTGCTCACACAGCATCCATATCGGGGCCAGCCCTTGGCCTCACCTACACTCCTATTTTTGGTCCTAGGACGCTAAAATGAATCTGGGACAGTGTGTAAAGGAAGAAGTCATCAGATGCAAACCAAATATACCACTCAAATCTGCACTCACACCCTCCCACCCAACCCCTGTACAAGCTTGATGGGAATCTACAGTCTCAATCCCATCTCTCCCAGGTCAGTAGCGTTGATGCTCCGTGGGAGAAGCATTCGTGCAGGAGGCACTTAGACACAGGAAGTCCAATCCCAGAGTGCACAGGGCACTTCAATACTGCAACTAGAGCCCAGACAAGGGTGGGTTAGCTGGACACAGGGAATCCAATCCCAGAGTACACAGAGAATCTTCACTCAACACTAAAAACTAGAGCTCAGACAACAGTGGAGCCGGGACCACCAGCTGCCCTGCAGTGTGCCAGCTCACATCCTAGCACAAGCCCCCTGCCCAGCCCAAAGACCTGGGTGCCAGCTGCTGAGGGGGTTAGATGGCTTTGGGCCCTCTCAAAAGTGAGGTATATATATCTTAACTGTCTTCCCCAAAACATGGGGGGTGATGTACAAATGGCCACTCTCCCACTCCCATCATGGTGGCCAAACCTTATTCTTGAAAACCTACTTTAACTCATATTTGGTTTGGGGCTCTTGTAAGAATTATAGACGACCAACACAGGTTATGTGTTCCCATGCAGACCCAGTATAACCACTGGTGCATTAACTAACAACTATGTGCATCAACTATGTGCTGGGCTCTGCATCGGCACTGTAACACCCAGTCCACACCAACCCACCTCGCAGTGGGGGAAGAGAGGCTTGCTCAGCCAAAAAGGGAAAAAGTGAGGCTTCAAGCGTCTTCCAGCCCCAGGAGTCAAAGGAGCAGGAGAAAGGCCCAGGATTGGGGGTGCCTTGGATGGGTATCCTGGAGGACCCACCAAGAAGCCCAGGTACCACGCCTTACAGGAAGGATAAAGCCGGGGGGCTCTTCCCACAGACCCAGGACACACACGACTTCCTGCTGCATTAAAATTGCAGCAGGCCCAATTCCCAGGCTGGAGATTCCCAAGATCTTTGTCCCCTCAGAAGAAGGGGGCTTCTTGGAAGAAAACAGTGATGGTTTCTGACAGTTTCCTGGGGGCTCCAACAGAACCACTGAGCTAAGGAGACTCAACTCCAGGGCCACTTGTCTCTTCAGTCAGCACCGCTGCCCTCCCTTCATGCCCCAGCAGCAATGCTCTCTAAGTCACTCTAAGTCTTCCTGCTGTGGCCCCTCCCAACAACCCAGGGCCTTCTGCTCAAAGGCCACAGGCCAGAGGCTGGGCTGGCTTGGCTCTAATGGACTCAGGGTGGAGCTGGATTCCTCCTGCGGAGCGGGGTGCGGGTGATGTGAAGACCATCCTCAGTGAATTGATCCCCTCTGTGGAGGGGATGCTAGACCAGGACAGGCAGAGGTTGCCAAAAAGGGCCAAAGAGTAAGGAACAGGCAGCTGTGCTCATGAGGGAAGTGGCCTGGCTGCTGGTGCCCTCAGCCCCACCATGTGGGTGAAGTGCCCATGGCACACATGCAGCCCTCTTTGATGCTTGGGGTCATGACCCTAGCACTGGGGTGGGGGTGAGGTGGCAGGAATCCCCAAGAGACAGAGAAAATTCCAGGCCTAAGATCTAAGGGGCTCTGTCTGGGAACTTGGGGAACACATGCATTTCCCAGCACCAAGCAGTGATAAACCCACCTCCTGGCCCCTGGGCCTCCCAACCTGTGCAGGGCTGGTGACGACCACAGCTCCCTGCCCATGCTCCCCACTTCTGGAGGACTCTCCCAGAGCACGAGGGCCCTGAGGGTGGCCAAGGTCCACAAGGAGTCCTTTTTCTCTCCTTTGGTAGCCTGATTCCTCCTGCCAAGTCAGCAGGAACAGAGAGACAGTCTGGCAGCAGGGACAAAACCATGCTGGCTTCCAGGAGAGAGTGGATGATGTGGAGAACCCTGGACTCTGGGTACAGTTACTTTTCTTCTCCAGAGCAGATGTTTGGAGAGTAAGATTGTGCACAAGCCAGGCCAGGGCTGCATGGCACCAACTTCTGCTCCCCACACTGTTACTATTGTGGCAAAGAGGGTGCTGAGGCTCATGCTGACCCAGATCCTGGCTGCCTATACAAGAGGAAGGAGGAGAAGCACTAGGTTTTCTATGTGCCAGTCCCTGTGTCGCTGGGACAGCTGCATTGCTCGTAGGACTGTCAACACTATAATAATCTTTGCTGTTTATCTGGCTGCTCAGAAAGGGTTTTCATAGCTGGGAGGAAAGACAAAAAAGGGTAAGGAGGCATGCCCCAGCCAAGGGGCCTGTGTCCTCCATGTGCTAAGCAGACCCCCTATTTGGAGTGGTTTCACAGAAAGCCTTTCTTCCTACTTCCTGGGCATGGAAACCGAGCAGGGACCCAATGGAAGGAAGGGTTCTGACCCGGAGTAGGGTGTATTTCTGCTCCCAAGCAGAAAACAAGATGACTAAGAAGCAGAGGTGGCAACTCACAGCACACGTGACCCTAAATGGGCCCAAGTGCTATACCAGGAGGGACGTGCCTCAGGGAACATTTTACTATGGTCTCTGAAGGCAGGAGCAAGGACCAAGAGCCTGGGGAGCTGAGGAGATGGAAGGAGCCAGCCTCCCAAAGCTCCACTTGATAAAGTGAGCACCCGGCTTGCACACCTGGCTAAGGAGACAAGTGTCCCCTGGCCTCACAACTCTGGAATGTGGGGGGAAGGGCAGTAAGATCTCCATCCTTCCTGCCCTGGTCATACCCTTGGTAGATTATCGTTGCTTCTCTTAGCTATCTCAGCACCTCTTGGAATGAACAGGGCCCGAGTAAGCAGCAGTTCCCGGGAGCCCATGCCTCTTAGGCCCCAG